GCCCCGCGCCTGCCGCAGCGCGGGACCCCCGGCCCCAGCGCAGCCCCCCCGGGGGACCCTCCTGCCCGGGGGGACCCACCTGCCCGGGGGCACCGAGCGCAGCCCCCCCGCGGGGACCAGGTCTCCAGGACCTGCGTTTTTCCGTCCCCGGACATCAGCACCGGGTGAAGCCCCTGGGGCTGGTTCCGGCTCCCCGTCCCAGTTCGGGCTGCCCGGGCAGAGGCTCCGCTCATAGAGGCTTTGACCTTGCTGGGTGGTTTTGGTGGTGGGACATGATGGGACTGGGGAACAGAGCGGGGCAAAGCTGCAACGTGGGTCCAAGGTGCAGCCAGGGCACAGGGATGGAGACAACACACCCGGAGCGCAGCTCCGTGGTCCAGCCAGGAGACAGCAGGGAGCAGGGACAGGAGGCCACAGGAACCAGGCTCTCCCAGAGGGTCCAACTCATCCTCAATGACCCAGGCAGGGGGAGCTGGGCTGGGGGGACATCAGCTGCCTGGCAAGTGGTGACACCACCGGTGGGAGGCCCTGGCTCTGTCCTTGGGACTGGATGCTCAGTGCCCGGGTGCCAGTGCAGCCTCAAGCACCTTAACCTTGTGGCTGTCCTATGTGCAAGACAGAGGCACCAGGACACGGTTCTGGCTGCTCTTCAACTCCTGCGGGCTCAGCTGGGTGCAGGATGCTCCCCGCCCTCCTGGCAGTCACGCTGGGCCGCCCGCCCTCCTCGAGGCTGCGCGAGCTTGCCCGGCCGGAGGCACCTGGAGCAGCAGCACGAGGCCACAGGGGGCTCTTGGCACCCCGGTTGCATCTCGCACCCGCTGCCAGCCCCGCAGGAGAGAATTTGGGGGCCGTTCCGGTGGCAGTCGGACTGCTGCCTTCCACCACCCGGGCTTCCTGCAGGAAAACTGGGCTCTGTTCCTGGAAAGGGGCGCGTTGCAGCAGAGCAAGGCTCCCTCCAGAGAAGGGGGTGCTGGCAGTGCCATCAGGATACCCAGGAACGCGGCGGCGGCCACCACGGCCCCCGGTGCCCGTCTCATGCAACACAGCCCGTGTGCTGCAGAAGTGGGTCAGAGCAGAGCCTCCCGGGGAGCAGCAGCCACCTCCTTCCTCCCAGGATAAATGAGAACATCCCGGCTCCGCGCTGGCCCTGGCCAAGGCTCATCTAAAATAGATGCTGGAGGGAAGCGCTGGAGAAATCCGTGGTGCCGGGGCCGAGCTCAGCCTGGCACAGGGGTACAGAGCCCCGGCCCCCTCACCACCCAGCCCTCCAGGGGAAGTTGTTTAAACTCTTCTGAACCATTTAAACCCGATCCTCCTTCTCCTGCAAGTGCCCTAGCTGAATTCCTGCCACAGGGAGATGCTGCTTTGGAGCACCCTTCCCACAACCCGCTCGGCCTGGGTGCTTTGCACAGAACATTAACGAACTAAAACCTGCAGGGGCTCGGGGAGCCGCGGAGCCTCGGGCGCTTTCCCTGGAGAGGGGCTACCGAGGGGGTCGGGCTCAGGCCCCCACCCACTCCCGCTCATCGGCAGCAGGACGCACGTGGCGCCGGGCCCACGCGAGCGCTCTGGGAAGCCTCTCCCATGCTGCGCTGGCAGGCGGCACGCGGGGAGCGCGGGGCTGGCGACGGCCCCCGGGAGCCACAGTCGTCTCCTGGGCCTCGCCGCAGCAGCCCCGGCCGGCGAGGGTTGCTCCCCGCGCGCAAGGAGGGCTGGGCGCCCGCAGCTCCCTGCCCCAGCGCGGGGCACGCGGAGACGCCCCTGCCAGCACCGTGGGTGAAGCTCCGCTGCACAGAGCACCCGGGCTCTGGGATAAGCGGAGCTGCAGGGAAGAGATGACTCCAGGGGCTGTGGCCACGTCCATTACCTCATCTCGAGGGACTCAGTCCTGGCTTCGTCTGCAGCCCCAAGGGAGGGTCACCTTCCCAGGCCAAGTCCTCCTCGACCTGGTGACCACATTCCTGCATGTGGTCATGCCACCCGTGACGGTGGCAGCGTGGCCATGACCCAGGGCTGTTATGTGATTAGAGCCATCACAGACTCTTATTCAAGCTGATGTCCACTCAGGCCCAGCTCTTCCCCAGCTTGCACCAGTTTGCTTCACCTTATCTTGAGTTAGCTCAGGCCACACAAATTTTTCCCACCACACAGCACCCCTCCCTTTTATTCCAAAGCTTAAAAGATCGATAAAAGCACCACAATTTAAAACCAATTACAACTACGTGTAGTTACCCCTCAAAACCTCCAGGATAGAAGGAATGGGCCGGGCTCTCTGCACCTGCAAGAGCAGGGCACAGATTCCCAGCCTTGCCTCTAGAGAAAGAGCCTCTTGCCTGCAGCCTGGTTAAGAGCTACACAATGAGGCTGCCAGGCATGAACATCACCAAATTGGAAGGAAGGCCCTGGCCCTTAGCAAGGCGGCTCTTTGGTTTCCAGCAGGAGCGCTGTGAAGTTTCACACCTTGGCTGACTGCACGAGGACGTTTCCATCCACACTGCCGCACCTGGGCTCAGGAGCAGAATGTTTGTGTCACCCCTCTAGGGAAACAGAGCCACTAAGAATAGCTGCAACTTTCCAGGCATTTCACAGTTTCCGTTGAAGGCGCAGAAACAGCCAAGAGGTGGATTTAACTAGTCCAGTCCCCAAGAGAGATCTTGGACACAGGGGAAGAAGTTCCCTCCCTCTCCGTGCAGTTCCAGCAGGTCTGATCATCTTTGCCTGCCCACTTAAGTTCTGGCTTCCACTTCAGTGCCGAGCAGAGCTGAGACTCAAAGTCACTGTCCCTTGCAGTGAGATGTGTCCTCCGGAGCAAGTCCCTGTTCATGGGCAGAATCCTGCTGCCCGGGGCGCCCGTTAACGAGGAGAGCAGCTGAATGCCCCAGTCAGAGTCAGAAGGTGCCCTGAAGTCAGGGTCAGCCTCAGGGTTGTGAGGTAGAGGAAGAGGGAGCCCAGGGCAGGGAGTCTCCTCTCTGCTATGGCCTGGGACATCAGGCAGTTCAGGGGCTACTTTCTTCGCTGCTCTGACACAGAGCGCGCAGCAACATCCAGCTTCAGGCACAGGCGGCTTTTGGGAGGACAGCTGGTGAGCAGGACAGCTCACCATGGAGGCCCTGCACTCCCGGCCACAACCATCCACACTCCAAGCTGCATCTTCTTCTTCCTCGTCGAGCTGCTTCCCGTAAGAACAGGCATTCACTCCATTGCCTCCAACCTGGCCGATGGTACCTGCTGCAGCCACCTCTGTGGCACCCAAACCTGCAGAAGCAGCTTCAAGGGAAGGGGGCTGTGCTGCAGGGCCCCCAGGGTCCCTGCACGGGCACAGCTTCGAAGCAGGGAAGCTGCGGGGTCTGGTGGAGAGCTCTGGGCATACAGCGAAGCTGCCAGCTCTGTGCCCTGCATCCCCCACACCCGCCCCACCACCCACCTGCCTCGTCTGCTCGTAGGGAGAGAAGTCACCACCCAGCTCCAGCCTGGGCTTCTTTTCCACCCGGCTGCTCCGCCTGCAGAGCTGGCGCTTCCTGGCGGCCGGCAGCTCTCGCACAAGGCACCCCACAGGCCCCAACACCTGCTGTTTCCAAGGTTCAGGCGACGCGATTCCACCCTGAGCAGCTTCTACGTGAGACTCCTTGCCCAGGCTGGGAGCCTTGTCCGAATCTCTGCCCAGCACCCCAACAGACCCATCCATGGTGCCCTGCACACCACAGACTCCTCCAAGTCCTGCTCCAACAGGAAGCCCTGGAGAGCAGCTCCCAGACAATCCCCTTGGTTTTCTGAGATTCCCAACCCTGTTACTGGGCAGGTGAGCAGTACAACCCTTCATCTTCAGGCCAGGATCAGCGTCTGCATCAGTAACCAGTTCCACAGGAGCCTGCTGGCTCTCCCTGCCCGGCTCGGCTGTCAGCATCTCATTTCCTCCGGTAACTTGTGCTCGAGGCATTAAGTGTTCATCTGTCAAGCAGGACCATGGCACCCTGAGAAGAAGCATCAGTTAACGCTCGCTCTCCAGACTTGGGAGCTTCTCTTTCCCCCAGGAAGACAAAGCATTTTCTGCAGTGCAGGGTGTTTGAGGCCCTTGTTTAGACAGGTTTTCTCCTGATATCACTGCTGGCAGAGCAGACAGCCAGCACAGAGGATCTTTCAGACATCTTGACAGCCAGGGGCCTGGGCACAGGCGTGCTGCAGGGCATCGGGGTTTGTGGCAGACAAGGGGACAAAGGGACCCAATTGTCCTTTCCAGTTTAAAAGGCCCCAGGCAGTTTGAAAACCCATTGGGAGTCTCATGAAGAGAACCCACAAGCTCAACTCCAAGAAGAGCATTTCCCACAGCTCATCTAAGCCTTGCCAGGCTGTGCAGTACAAGGGCAGGGGCAGCCCTGCTCTCTGCTCGCAGATTTCCTGGCATGGGGCACAAAGCAGGAATCGATGCCACCACTGCATGGAGATTCAGCTCCTGGTGCTGTGACCTGCCCACGTGGCAGCAGATTGCCTTGCTGCTCCACGAGTCAGCAGCTTCATCAAGACTTACTTGGCCAACTGCTCCACGAAGTTCTTGGTGAGCTGTGAGACAATGTGATCCACAGGGGCATACTGAGAGTCGTCCAGTGCAAACTGCTTGTGCTGGAGGCTCTGCAGATGCTGCAAGGTGGCAAAGGCCCTTTTAGCAACATTTACCCTCTCACCAGAGGGAAATTCACAGTAATACCCACCTCTCGCATACTAGAGTGCAAATGGTCTTTAAAGCAGATAATGTTGCCTACATTTCCCAAATCTGCTTCCAAACAGCAGCCCTGTTACCTCAGGACACTTAGAGTGAATGTTCTATTCCCACAGACACCTGCTGATGAGGAGGTTGTGTCTGTACCTAACAGCAGCCTACGGCTTTCCCCAGCAGCAACTGAAAACACAGACTCCAAATGTAGTGTCTATCACTAAACACTGGGCATTTTGTGGAAGGTAAAAACCCTCTTCCTACTTTTAATGTCCCTCAGTTGCCACGGAATAAGGTTTCCCACCTTGCAGCTCAGGTCCTCAAGGCTTTCCTACCACCAGAGAGCCACCACATCACACTTGGCTCCACAAAACTCTTGCTTGCACAGAGCACAAAGCCTGAGCACAGATACACTGTGACTTTCATCTGTGACACTGATCCCACCAGATATCAGGAAGGCTGCACATACAAAAAAATCTGCCTTCTTTCTCAGAGGCCCTGCACTGATAACAGACACGTTGTTATAACTAAGCGGTTGAGCGAGTCCCATAGACTTCTGCAAGGAATCAGGTCCCAGGGGAGCACTTACATTTTGCAGTTCTTCAAAGGTCTCTTGGCAGCACTCGCAAAATCCCCTCTTCCTCTTTGGCACAGTGACTGGCGTGGACCGGTGGCTCTTTTCTCCCTCACTGCGCATTGGACAACCCTCCAGGTCCCTGCAAGGCAGCAGTAAAAATCTTTCCCTGATCCCAGTTCACAACAGAGCTGGAGCAGCAGACACCCAGATCTCACACAAAGGCCAGGGATACAGTGATGTTTTTGAGCTGTTTTAACTGAAACAGCAACAGTGGGAGCTGTAGGAACCAATAAAGCTCTTTTTGCCACCATCCAGAAGACAAAGTGCTTCTCCAAACCCCAGGCAACAGCCAGCATGGGAGGTGAACTTTTGCACAGAAGTAGCTACAACCTACCTGGGCCTGCAAGAATTTGAGAGGCTTTTCAGAGGCTCAAATGGGCTGGAGTTTTTGGGCGCCAGAAAGTTCAGGTCAGGAAAGGTTTTGAACTGGTGATAGAAGGGTCGGAATTGCCTGGAAGAAACAGATGAGGACATCACTTTTCCGACAGGAACAGCATGGTTAGAATTGTCATCCTTCCCTCAAACAGGTTCAATGCATCGACTCATCCAGGATGGGACACTGGCCATTGCTGCCTATGCATTTGGCTGTCCCAGAGATTCCACATTTCTCACTGGGGAAAGGAAGCTTTAAATCTGATTCCTGGTACAGCACCAACGGTGAGGATGCTTTGAACAGAAGGCAGGCTTTACTGCTCAGCTGAAAAACCCACTTTTCTCCCCCAGTATACATCATGGGCAGGCAGTGTGGTATTTTCAGCTACATAGCAGCACGTTTCAGCTCCCAGATGCCATCCCTCCTCTTTGTGCTTTATTGCACGCAGCACGTAAACCTAGTATTTGACCCTGCAGCTGCCTTAAGCGTTGTCTTCAGAATAATTAGTGCTCTAGATACTTTAGTGTTTCAGAGATAGAAGCACCACAGAGATCAGATCCCCTTTGCACAGGATGCTGTAATCAAGTTACAGGCCCTGACCTCACACACTTCAGTCTTGTTCCCCACTTCAGAGGGCTCAAGCAGATTAAGTGACCTGCCAGGATCACATAAAGAATCTGAGCAAGGAAATAAACTGTTATCAAGCCTGGCTTAGCACCTTTCTCCTGACATATGAACCTCCTAGATTACTTCTCCAAACTGTCCTTGTCTCCTTTAGAGGAGCATCATCTTCCTGGTATTTGAGACAGCCTGCAAAGACAACACACTTTACTTTGTGGACAAAATATTCACTGTTCTCCATGTAAAGGGCAGAAATGATACAGGATCCCTTTCACGAGGGCCCTTGAATTTTTAATAGTTTAGCTGTGATATTTATAAAAAAAAAAAATCTCCTTTACCTGCTTTGGTCTTCAACCTTCAGAAAAGGAAGCTTCAATTTTCCTGCTAGAAAGACAATTGGTTAGAATTTGCCCTGGCCAAATACTCTGCCAGTAGTTCCCCATCTGAACAGGGCTCTACAGCTAAGCCTGTCAATATTTCTACCACTTGTGAATGCCAAGTTATTGGTAAAGCACCACTTAAGACAGAATTCACAAAACTTTGGGTAATCTACAGCAGCCTCATCTCCAGAGTATTCAATAAACTGATAAAATGTTGAATATAATAAAATAGTGGGTTGTTGTTTTCACTATTAAACTTGGCAGAAAAAAAAAAAAAAAAACCAAAACAAGCCAGCTTCTTCCTGGATCTTCCTGGAAAAGCCTGGAGTTCAGAACGGCTCAAAGTGGGACTCTTATGTCTAGGAAAGTTACAAGAGCTAAAAGCTGCTGGAGCCAAACCAATGTACGCTTAAGAGGCTGCACAGCCAAGTCTGGCATGGGAATACTGCTAAACAGCACTGCCTGCCCTCAGCCTGCTCCCTGAGGGGGACAAACAGCAGCCACGCTTCCTACAGAGGGATATATTCAGGGAGTTGAAGAAAGCCTCAGCAGGGCATTCGGCGAAAAGGCTCGCAGAAACAGGCAGGTGGATGCCAGCAGATGACCAGGCTGGGGAAGATGCTGCCTCCCCGCCGTCAGACTTGTTCAGCTCATGGGTGATAAGCTTTATGGTCAGCCTGGAAATCTCAGTGCACACCTTACTTAAAGCAAAACAAAGAAACAAACAAAGCCTTTCACACATCAAGATACTGTCAATAGGCACCTGCCTGATCCTGACACCAATGCTCTGGTGTCTCCCTCATTGCCTCTGAGGGGCGAGAGGCTGTTTTTTGTTGTAACCCTGCAGCTCAAATTCACCTTCTCCAAATTTTAGCCTTGATCTCTGGAAGGGCCAAGTCCACCTGCCCCCACTATTTACAGTTCCTGGAGCCTCATTCCGAGCTTGCATCAAATGTGCTGTTGCAATGCCGAGGTAGCTATTTAAACACTGGATCAATGTTTCCACATAAATGCTGCCAAGCTCTTGGCACTTCCAAGAGCAAAGCCTCATTTAGGGGCTCAATATAAAAGCAAGGCGGGTGTGCAGATCCAAAGCTCTCATGGTAGAGTGTTCAACGTCTCAAGCTTTTATTTCATCATCTTTACCCCAAACTGGAAAATAATGTTCCAAGTATCACATATAGAATCCAGGTTAGAGCTCAGTCTAAGCTCTGAATTATTGAATTTGTTCTCCAATAAACCAAGTCAAACTAGTCAGAAATAGGTTTACATCAGCAGAGCAAATTCTAGTACCACAGTTGGCTCTGGTCAAACTGCAGATGAGAACCTGTTTTTTCTCCCTGCCATCCTCCTTTAGAAGTGTGAGCCCTAGATTGGTGTCTCAGCAGTATTTCAGCCTAACAGAAGTGAGTGGGTTGTGAGGAACATGCTCTTCTCTCTAAGATGTGTTTTTATTCAAAACTTAGCTTGAACCAGTGGATTCAACACACAGTGCCAGCAGCACAGTACTGAGGCACCTCAGGATTCTGGGAGTTGAACTGTAAACAAGTTGTGGAATTCTTAAAAACAGTCCCCAAAATCAAAGGCACAACATTCTTGAATGTGTCAGGAGGCTGCAGTTAGGCTCAGACAGGGAGTTACAAGTATCATTCAAGAGAAACTGCCTTAGCAGTTACCTGACTTTGAAAACTCATGTAAAATGTCAACAAAAGAAATTCTTAATAAGGCTTCTTTGAGCAATTCTGCATTCGAGTGCAAGTAGGAACACAACTTCCAGACTTACCTTTGTGAACTTTTGATCCAGACACAAGGCATTTTGCCTAAAGGAAAGGGTGACATATTTAGTATAGGAGCCAGTGCAGGCAGAGCTCTAATTACTGATCCCAGAGCAGCAAGTTGGAATCACAGCAGCCTCACCCACCACTTCAGAGCTCCTGCACCACAGACTGCATCGCCTCCCCCTAATATTTAGTCTCCCAGTTAGAGTTAAGTGACACACAGATGGCATTCTTTAATCTTATACCTTATCAGGGTAACAAAGAAGTTTAGAAAGCCACAATCCTAGTCACATACCTTGGTTTTACCCTCAGTTCCTTCTAAATCAAAATTTAGTATTAATTGTGCTACAGAACAGGTTGATGCTAACAGCTACCTCCTTACTTCATAAAAGGGAAAAACCTTTCAGTTTTGTAGTCTACATCATGAGCTGAAGCAACGGATTAGCTGATGTCAAATCAAAACCTAGAAGGTGACCCTGCTTATTAGCCCACAGGGAGCGAGGAGAATTGGTTAGAGCTGCTGGGGGATCCCGCGACCTTCCAAGGGAGCAGCAGTTGGGTGTTACCTCCGTCTTGTGGCCCCGTTTCCTCGCCGCCGCGATGGTGCTGAGCAGTTGCTGGGCATAGGACAACATCTCTGTGCAGGGGGACGTCAAAGAGCCACAAAGACAAGGGCAGCGGTTCCTCTGTCCCCCTCTCCCGAGGACATCACACAGCACCTGAGCCTGCCATCATCTGGCAACACTTCACAACTACACGGTTCCTTCTCCCAAAAGGAGCCCAAGGAAATGATTTAAGGGAAGGCTCCCCACTTCACTCCTTTGCAAAGCAGGAGGCTTGTTTAAGCCTCTGCTAAATTAGACACTGCTAGGAGTTCCGCAGTAGATGGCACTTGGAAGCCTTGGCAGTTCTGGTCCAAGACTTGCAGAACTGCTGCAATTTCAGCAGAATTGGCTGCCCGGGAAGACGCACGAGCAGCAGCAGCCTCCATCACACACCCAGACAGGTTCAGCCAGGCCTGCAGGTCCCTGTCAGCAGATACCGGGAGCCTTTTACTCCAGGCCTGCTGTCAGAATCACAACTTCACCATCTGTCTTCCCCTGTCACCCCTTCCCCATTTGCCATGGAGACAGGAAGCTCCTTCCAAAGCACATCCTCAAACATCAGCAATTCCTAATGAAAACAGCTAAATCCTGCCATTACTGTTAGCTCCATTTGCAAATCAGTTAACAAGAACAGTCTTCCTGGAACAGATCCACGCACTGACCAAGCTATTAACTTCTCACAGCAGCATAGCTTCAGTATTTTAAAATATACTTAATGTTTCCTACTGCATACATGACAGTATCAGGTTCTGGATATAAAGAGCTCATCTGGCTTTTGAAGGCCAGAGCCAGGTAGCTACAGCCAGGAGAGCATCAGTCAAGTACTACACATTCTTTCCAAATTCATTCTTCTTCCATATATTCCACTCATCACATCACTTCTGCCCTTCCTATCTTTAAATCACTAATGTACCAGACCTAAATTGTGGTAATGCAGAAGGATACCATCGACGTGCACGATCTGGACTCCCCACAGACGAGCGCTGGCGAGGATACCGCTGCCACCGCAGGTGTCCTGCGCAAACAGGAGGGATTGAGACAGGTACAGCTCAGAGGGAGGGCTCTGCGAGCATATGCAGCTCTAAATCCGGTTTAATGAGCATTTTTTTTCTGTTGCTTAGTTGCCAAACCAACATGTATCGTTAAAACATGCCTAAATGTTTTGGCACAGCCAAAATGTTCAAACTCATACTTTTATGTACCTCAAATCAAGAAAAGCATCTAGTTCATATTTTTTAATTCCTCCTATAACAAGAGCTTCCAAGGTGGACACCAAGATCCTCTCGGCTGTTGTGATATTAGTGTAAAGTCTCCTGAGGAGTCTTCTGCCCCTGCTACATGGCTTTAAATCTTCCCAAACTAAAAACACTTCTAATGGCGATCTTAATGTGAGTAACTCCCTAGTGCTGAACAACCAAAGCTCCGGGACACGCTGCAGAGGTAGTGAACACGGAAGGATGAAATGGTTCTGTGAAGACCAGTGCCTGGAAAGGCTGCACAACAAAACAGAGGACAGGTGACTGTTTTAACTGCTCCTGGTCCTCATCTGTCAAGAGCTCTGCAGGACTGGCCATTTCCACCCTAGCAAAGCTCAGCAGGACTTTGAACCTATTCAGCCAGACAGAAAGCTCACCCATGGGTGCCCACCTGGTTCTTTATGGCTTTCTGCAGCAGTTCCCTTCCTCGGCTGATCAGCACCTGTGGAAGAAAGGAACGAGGTAACGTGCTGGAAGCCGGAGTTGCCAGGCAGCCGCGAGCGGAGGACAGAGCGCAGCCATCCATCAGGAATGGCACCTAGTGGGACACACACCCTGCTGCAGGCAGGAGGTTGGCCAGGACTTCGCCTCAAAGAGGACAAGACAGTGTTTTCAGGGAATCAAAATCCCAAGGGCACCATTAAGGTCCACACTGAGCAGCCAAGGCTCGGCTCTTATTGAACAGCAGTGAGAGCTTTGGTGGAAGCCAAGAGGAAGACGCCTCTTAGCACCATGTGCCACATCCCATCACACGGCCAGGGCTTAGGAACATCCTTGTCAGGCTGATGCCAACAAGGAAGTCCCTTTTCTTACCTATGATTTGGTAGATTTTGGCAAGACGGTTAATCTCTTTACAAGACAAGTGATGGCACTGTGTGGAAGGACAGGGGAACGCCGTGAGGGAGGCCTCAGGCACAAGGCCCGGCATCTTGGCGAGGTGCTGCACTGCCGGGGGCCCAGACCTGCCGGAGCAGGTGCCTGCAGCCTGCCTTGGGGTAGCCAACTCCACCAGCTTTGCTGCTCCCCAAGGTCACGGGTGCCACCAGAACCCTGAGTTCTGCACAGGACACTGAAACTTTGGCCACAAGCCTTGCTGACGAGGAAGCCCAGCTCAGGCTGGCGATCAGAGCCTAGAGAAATCCCTTCTGGCAAGTTGGGCTTGTAGACCCCCTCCCAGATTAAAACTGCTCCTCTCTGCAAGGACACATGCACAGTCTGCCGCAGCTCTGAGCCCGTTTTACCTGTTCACCACTCTGGTCTTTCCAGATGCACCTCTGCAGCAGGACAGATTATCTGTTCTGCTGGAAAGACAACCAAGCCTTGTATTTTCTCTGCCATTTCACTGCCCTCTTACCAACTCCATCACATGCACTTGGGAGTAGACAGATATAAAGAACATTAACAAAAATATAAACAGCCAGGCTGGAACAAGCACAAGGTGATTGCTCAGAACACAAGCTGCTACCACTGTGGTGGTAGAAAGCTTTTACTCTGTACAGCCTTTGGGTTAAACCCAGAGGTGACCGAATCACTTATAGCTCTTACGGTGTCTGGTGGCTTCTGCTGAGGTCTGCTATGGCTCCCTTTGGAGGTGGAAGGCCCCGGGCTCTTGGCTTTTGCACCTTCTGAGGTAACGCTGCTCCACTTCTCAGTTCGAGCCCTGGCCTTGTCCCGCTTGGCCTCCTTGCTGCTGGAAACCACGTAGGTGACTTCTTTGCTCAGGAAGCTCTCTGTCACCTAGAGCCAGAGACAAAACAGCGCTAGCTCTAAAACCCTCCAACGGCTCTAGGGCTTGAAAGAGGCCAGCTGAGGAAAAATTAAAGCCTTTATTCAGATTGAGACTTCCTTGACAGGATGCCGTCTCATATCATTTACTCTTCAAACAATTTCAAGCACAAAAAAAAACCCAAGTTTTCCAGGCATTCAAGTTTCTATTAGTTACTCCAGTAGCATACAGCTTCTGAGAGCCAAGGACCCAGCACCAACCCCCTTCGATCTGGATGCCAATTTTGACATTGAACAGGTTGCCACTTTCCTGTTCACACTGCAACAGTCTGTCCAGGGCCCTGAGATCACTCCGAGCATCTCATGCTCCAGGCACTGCATTGCTCCCCCTCATAAGTCACCAAGACTCATAATACTGAGGAAGGAGGTCTTGTAGCAGCAGGGCACTTATCTGGACACCTGGGATACAATCTCGTAGGCAGGAATTTCTATTGGAAGGCTGCTCTATTTCTGCCTCACCAAGGAAACTCTTCAGCAGCTGGAACCTTGACAGGGAAGCTAGAGCAGAGCTGGTTATTTATTAAGGCAGATCGATCTGTGCTAAGAGCTGTGCAGCCATTCCGCATTAGAGGAAGAAACCAAGAAAGTCAGCAGGTGGGAAAGTGTCCCTGGAAGTGACCAGCGTGCCAGTGTGGAAGAGCTCCGACGTCGGGAGAACTGGAAAGAACTGGGCAAAGTAAGTACAAAGCAAACAGCTGGGAAAGCAGCTCCGTGGGGACAGGGAGCAGAGAATCAGAAAACCACAATGCAACCTTCCGCAAAGGTATCGAAAAGCTGGAAGAAGAGGTGGAAAGTCAAAACGCTCGATTTGGGATCGTAACGACGGGCAGATCAGATACTGAGGGGAAGGAAGCAGTCACTAACAGGCAGAGGGGCAGCAGTTGGGCAGCTTCAAACCGGAGCTGCTGAACAAGCTAGCAGAGCCGCAGAATCCCTGTGGATTGAGATCCCAGGCCCACATGAAGAGCTGTTCAGCTGTTCCTGGCTGCCGTGCTGAGACTGGGGCCTACTCTAGAGACCTGCGCTGCAAGCACAGAAAGGGGAAAACGGAACCTCCGAGGCTAGATAAAGCTCCCGTGCAGGGCGAGCTGGAGCCGGAGGCGACAGAGAGGGCAGCAACACAGGGAAGATTTCCATGGAACCACTGCAGCTGGAAAAAACCCTCAAGATCAGCCCAACCACAGCCCCATGGATGAGGTCCTAAGCGCCTCCTCTGCACATTTTGTGACCGCTGCCAGTGACGGTGACCCCACAACTCCCCCGAGCAGCCTGCTCCGATGCTTCACCGCTCTTTCCGTGGAGGTTTTTACCCTAATGCTGAACCTGATTTTACACCAGTCTGGAGCACTTGGAGGAGTGCGGGAAGCTTTTGGGTGTGCATGGGAGCACTCGCCTCAAACTGAGGGCAATCCTAGCACAGCCCGAGCAAGAGCAGAGAGGAGGCACCGCTGTGGGGACGCGGTGACCCCCGTGGCGTGGAGCGAAACGCCACGTCCTTGGGTGGCGAAACGACCCGGGAGCGGCGCGCGGAGGGGAAGCGAAAGGGCCGAGGTGGAGGCGCCGGCAACGCCGCCCGCGCGGAACGCGGCGGGGCCCGAACGGAACGGAACGGAAGGGAAGGGAAGGGGCGCGGCGCGGCGCGGGGCTCACCCCGCCCAGGTGCCGGATGGCCCGGGCCAGCTCCCGCGCGCCGCGCCCGCTCGGCACGTCCAGGTAGAAGGACTGGCCGCGCAGCGGCCGCGCGGCGCCCGCCATGGCGGCCGCGAGGGGCGCCCGGCGCCGCCGCCCGCGCGCCCCGCCCCCACGCGCCGTTTAAATTTCCCCCAACGGCGGCGGGCGACGGCGGCCGCGCAGGGACACGCGCCGAGCGCGAAGCCAGCGCGACGCTCAGCGCCCGCCTCGTCCCCTCCCCTCAGCTCCTGCGGGTGCCGCCGCAGCACCGGGGGCTCCGCGGCCGTGATCGCCGCCACGGGGCGCGGCGGCACCAGCGCCTGCCCCGTGAAAGCGGATACCGAGCCGCCGCATTCCCAACGCCTTCGCTACCAGATTGGCCCCAGCGGCCGCCGTAGCGCGGTGCGCAGGCGCGCGGCCGCGCCCCCTCTCGGCGGCGCACCAAGATGGCGGCGCCCAGCGCGGCGGAGGCGGGCGGCGGGTTCGCGGCCTGGCTGGCGGCGCGGCTGGAGGCGCTGGGCCTGGACCGCGCCGTGTACGGCGCCTACGTGCAGGGGCTGCTCCGCGAGGGCGAGAGCGACGAGGAGCGGCTCGAGGCGCTGCGCGGCGTCCTGGCCGCCTGCCTGGTGAGGGAGGAGGCGGCCGCGGGTGGCGGAGCCGCCCGGGGGTTCCCGGCGCTCTCGGCCGCGCTGCCGCCCCGTTGCCCTCGGGCCCGTCGGCCGTTGGCGCCGCGCGGGTTGCCCGGGGGAGGAGGAGGGTGTCGGAGGCCGTCGCGCGGCGCTGGGCGCTCCCCGGGGCCGTGGAGCCGGTGCCGGGCCCTGGCTCGGGGCCCCGCGCGGGCGCCAGGCAGCGGAGCCGGCAGGCGCCGGAACCTTCCGGGAGCCTCCTGCTCCAGAGCCCTTCGCTTTGAAACCGTGGCCAAGCGTTGCGTTAGTAATTCACCCTGCCGTGGGAGCCGGGGCGTGCACGGACTGTCACGGGCTCCCGCGGCGCGCGGAGCCGCCCGCGGGGATTTGGGGTTCCGTGTTGGTTGGGTCCGTGCGGCTGCCCGTGGGCCCTGGGAGGGACCCGGCTGCTGCCGGAGCCCCCCGGCCACCCCCGGCGCCTTCCCCCTCGCCCTGCGGTCACCCTGGCCATCGAGGCCGTGCCGGGTTTTGAGCTGTGGAAACAAGTACGTGCATCTCGTGACTTGTATTGCCCTGCGCCAATTAATAAAAGTGCATTTAATTAGGTGGATTTTATGGGGAAAAGCTTTACCTCTTGGGCTTGTGGCCTGGGGCTTTGGAGCTGATACTTTTCATATGTGATTTGTCCCTGTTTAAAGCAGACTGGCTTTGCCCATGGGCTGAGAAGTCTCTTTTCCCTCCCTAGGAAGAAGATCTCTTGGGCGACGTCTGCAGGGAGGTGGTGGAGAAGTGGTCCCAAGCCCAGGTTGTTGACGCCAAAGAGGAAAAAGAAGGTAGAGGGGGTGCTGCACGCGCCTTGCGCGCGGGGCTCTGCTGCGCCGCGGCTCTCTGCACGGTTAAAGCCACTGCTGCGCCTCTGGCTGCGGGTGTGACCTGCCTCTCATTGCCCTCGCTGCTCTCTGTCTGGAAAACTGAAATGCGCTTGGGGAGTTTCATTCCTGGCTTCACCAGCATCCTGCTGCTCCTCGGGCTCAGAATCCTGCTGAGAAAAAAGTTAATTTCTTTCTGCAGGATTTAATGTTTTTCTGTTTGTTTTAAAAAAAATAGAGCTTACTTTGCACTAAATGGTGCACCTGTAGCTCTGATGGCAGATGCAGCTGTGGTGTAAAATGCTCAGAGTGCCCCGTTGGTGTGCATTTGGGAAACCCTTACACGGCTCTAACGGCAGCTGCGGAGAGGCTGCGTGCTGCCCTGCTGCCAGGAAACCCCAAAACGCACCCCAAAAACCGTCCTTATTTTTCTCTTTCCAGATCTTCTGTTTAAACTTCGCTCCCCGCCCAATAAATGCTTTTCTTCCGGGGTGGGGGGGTGGGATTCTCAAGCTGCTGCTCTTGTTTGCTCCTGGGAAACCAAGAATTTTTCTTGTTAGTCCCAGAAGGAAGGTACCAAGAAGGACTGACTTCCTTCACCGTGGTTCCCCAACAGGATAAATACCCACTGGAGTCAAAACCTGTGTGTTGCAACTTCCTGAAAATATCTTTCAGGTGCTTGTACTCAGTAGGAGAATGAAATGTCTGAAAGAGAAAGCTGGGAAGGGAACCTTTTAATTTTTAAGTTGGGCACAAGATCAAAGCCTTATGGAAACCTGACCTTACCAAGCAGGCAACATACAGCAGCCTTTCTGTATTGAAAGCCAAACCCTAAGAAGTTCCTGGTGGTGTTTACCATCTAAACAAATGTCATTTGGTGCCAAAAACAAAACATCATTTTAAAAGATGGATGGCAGACCGTCATACTGAAAGGTGAATCAACTGTTTCCCTAGGTAGGTAGAAAAGATGCAGTATTAAAACAATGTTAAGTTGAAATTCTGAATATTGAAAGTACTCATTGATGTAACTGTATAATTAAATAAACACACTCGATATCTTTTAAGTGGATCACAGTGCATGAAGTGGCTTTTCATCAGCTACAGTCTTACTGACACGTACATATTGTTACAGAACTTCCCTTGCTCCAGGGAAAACAGCATCCGATGCCGGCAGAGCCTGTTCCTCCCCGGGCAGAGAGGGCGCCTGGTCGGAACCGCCTCCGTGGCGGCTCCGCCGGGAGCTGCGGCTCTTCCGAGCGCCTCTTGGGAACGGCGGGAGCAGGAGCTGGGAGCAGTCTGTGGTGTCTGTGGGCCAGGCTGATGCTCCTCACCCTTCTCCTTGGCAGATGAGGTGCAGGCGATCGCCAGCATGATGGAGAAGCAGGCCAGGATCGTCGTGAAGCCGAGGGAGGTCTCCCAGGAGGAGCGGCAGAGGAAAGCCGCCCTCCTGGCCCAGTACGCCAACGTGACCGATGAGGAGGAATATCCTTGTCCTGACCCTATCTAATCTCAAGAAGATGTTTCATTAAGAATCTTCTAAATTGTCTTTCTGCTTTTCAGTGTCAGGGTTGGAGGGATTTCTTAATCTTCATTCTCCACAGAGAAATAACTGGATGCAAAAAAACAGGGAAAAAAAGGCATGAAGCTCCTATGGAAGCTCCTAGCTTGTGGTGTGCCACGTGCAGAAGACGCCCCTTTGAGCAGCTTCCTCCACCAGTCCCTGCTTGGCTCCATCTGGGGCTTTTTAGACTGCGCATGTTGCCGTAGTGTCACCTCCGGCGTGGCTGTAATGCCCACGTGCTGCTTAACGCAGTGAATTTATCTCCTGCTTTCGGGTGAGGGGCCCGTGAAAAGGTCCTTTCTGGAGAGGGCCTGTGGCGAGCGGGAGAGCTGAAGTTACTTCTTTATAGTGCTGAGGAACAGACTCTTCTCTGGAGGTCGCAGCTGAGTAAAAGGGGGTCTCACGTGGTGCTTGAGCCGATGGAAAGGTTGAACAGTGGGTTTTGTGCTTGCTTGGCCCTTGGTTGCCTGTATCAGTCCTTAGTTTCTTCCTTGCGGCCTTGAAATATATATATATTTGGCTATGTTTTAAGGTAAATGTAAAGGTATAGAGGCAGAAGCTCATTATTGAGGTCCAAATTTCCTTAATTCTCTCACCGGTGAGGATGAACATGATGGATCCTCTGCAACAGCAGTAAATATTGGATCGGAAAAATGTATCCTTTAAGTTCTCGATCACTTCCTTGTCGAAAGAGGGCAGCTTCCACGGTGGGTTTCCCAACCTTTATTCTCTGTATTTCCACTCACTGTCTCTTTAGTGCCACCTTTTAGTCTTCACGATTCATTTTTTCCACATTGCCTGACCTAACTCGTAATGAAAGTTAGAGGTTTGTCTGCTTTCCTGGTCCCCTTTCCCTATCCTGTGTGTTCTTTTGAGGCCAACCCTGTCATTTTCTTTTCTTCCTTCCTTCCACCCCCTCCAAAGCTGTGCAGAACATAGAAAATTACCCATAATAGCACTTGAATATTCAGCTCGGTACTGAATGGTCTCCAGAGAAGTAAATCGTGTTGGGAATTGCTAAAAACTACTTTGAAAGCGTCACATTTCCATTTTTGCGTGAGGCTGCAGTGCACTGAGCGCTGGCGAACAAGGACCAGTCTTCTCTGGATTCTGCAAACCCTTTAGCTTGGCTCAGTCCTTAATCTCCTCAGCTGACAGGTTTGGAATGGAAGCCTTTTTTCTCATAGGACACAAGTAAAGTTTGGAGCTTAAATTGTTCTTGTTCCTGAATTACTGAGAGAAGAGCCGCATGGGGAGGCCCCTGCTCTCTATTGCTCTTCCCAAAGCCATCGTGGGAGGGAGGACGTGAGATGGTGGCAGTCTTTGGTGGGGGTATCAGATAAACCAGTTCGCGTTTGCCAAATGCACTGTCTAGTTCACAGGCCCCCCAAAATCACCGGAAAGGGGAAGCTCCGTGTGTTGAGGGCTGCCCTTAACTCACAACCAGCTCTGTTCCGAAACACGAACGTGGAAGATGTCTTGAACGCCAGGAAGCTGGAGCGGGAGCTGCTGCGGGATGAGTTCCAGAAGAAAAAAGAGCAAGACAAGCTCCAGCGAGAGAAAGATAAGCTCGCCAAGCAAGAGCGGAAGGAGAAGGAGAAGAAAAGGACACAAAAAGGAGAGCGGAAGCGATAGCTGGAGATTTTCAGCCGGACTCAGAAATCATAAAATTAATTATGAGTGTGGTGTGTGTTTGAAAAGCAACAGAAGTTCTGGGCACGTGGCCGATGAGCGGTTCTTTGGAAGCGTTTCTTCTTCCATTTACATAGCAAAAAAAAAAAAAAAAAAAAAAAAAAAAAAAAAAAAAAAAAAAAAGAAAAAAAAATCAACATCTCTTTCACCTCCAGATGTGCCATATGCTTGTGGTGTCAAATGTCCCAGTCGGTTTTTGTGGCCAACGTCCATTCCAGGGACGGTGGAGTGGTGGTGTCCGTGTGTCTGATTGACTCGACTCGTAGAAGCTTCGGGCAAAGCAGAACGCGGTGCAGGACGGAGGCTCCGCTCTGGCCGCGCGCCGGCCTCGCCCCTGCGGCACCGGCCTCCCAGCGCTCGAGACTAGAGCAAAGCCCCTTCGTGCCCTGCAGGGAGGGACCCGCTGCCGCAGGGTGCGTGCGAATTTACACTAACCTTGAAAAATGTACCTGCAAGTTCATCTCTCTGCACTGCCAAGAACAACACCGCGTTGTTACACGGACTGAATAGGGTTTGGCTCTGACCTCGTCAGCGTTAACGGCTGTTCCACAGCAGTGGAGAGGAAACGCCATGAAATACCTATGAGCTCCAGCTGTGAGACGCTGCACCCAGAGGCGCTCGGGAGGGAAGGGCCGCCGTGATTTGAGCAGCAGCAAATTGGAGTCGCACGGCTGGGTGCTGGGCGCCAGGACGCGGGCTGTGATTCCTGCCGTAGCAAAAGCTTTGGTGCCGGCTGCGCGCGGAGCAGCTGTGACCGGGCAGCACTCGGATGCGCTGGGTGCCCAGGCAGCTCCCCGGGTGCCCAGGCAGCTCCCTGCCCGCAGCAGCGCTGGTTTCACACAGGAGGCTCCGCGGCCCCTCGCCCCGAGCACTGACGGCTGCAGCAGGGAGAGCCGCGGCGCAGCGGGCGGGAGGTGCCGCCGGCGCATTCGCTTGCAAGGGCCACGTTTGCCGTGGGGCAGCTGCTCTCGGGATCTGTCCTTGTCACCTGCTTCAGCACCGGGCGCGCTGCGGGGTAACGCGTCCTGTTAAACTAACTGCGAGTGTGAGTGACGGCTTTATCTTTGGACTTGAATAATAAACCTGTCTGGCCAAGAAGTGGTGCTGTGCTCCGTGTCTGAGCGAGCGGCACCGTTATCCGCAGCCCCACACCCTCTGTCCCTATTACACTGCAGAAATATTCCCACGTCCCCATCTCTCCTGGGCTTGTTCCTCTTCTATCCCCTCCCTGTTTTCCTGACTGCTGCTCTTCACCTCTCCCTGTGTCTCCCCGTGGGAACAAAATCCCAGTGCTGCTTTGGGGCCAGGCCTGTGTTCAGGACCTCCCCTTTTCCCAGTCCCAAGTGCTCTCGTGGATCCCAGATTTCTTTCCTGGGCACTGCTGTGGAGCACGGGACTGTGACCAGAGGGAGAGGTGACCTGAGGGCGTTGGGGCCTTCACGCCACAAGGGCCTCTGTGAGTCCCTTGGATGTGGCTCCAGGTGGGTGCACAGAGCAGCTTTGGCTCCGCTCTGGTTCTCCTAGTGCTTTTTAACACTCCCTGCTCCCCTTGCGCTGCAGTCGCTGGGCTGGCTGCAACCAGCAGGAGCCGAAAGTCTTTTTCCATGTCCCTGAACTGCAAGGGGAGCTCCCCAACCGCGAGACCTTCAGTTAGGCCGGACTGAGACCCTCCTGCAGCCGCCACGTCCAGCCTTGTGTCACGGAGCCGGCAGCTGGACACGGCTCCCGCCCCCCCAGCCGCAGCCCCGGGCTGCAAACCCCAAGGTGGGTCACACCAGCCCGGGCCCCTTCCCGGCGTTTCCTGACCCCGCCCGTTGCGACTGCCCCTGCCCCGGTGCCCAGCAGGACAGTGCCCGGAGAGCAGAAGCCGCCGCGGCCCCAACCGGAGCCCCGAGCCCGAGCAGAGCACAGCAAGCGACTAAACACAGTGCTTCCCATTCCGTGTCCTGGCATCACTGACAAGGGGTTTGAAAGGCAGGAAAACTCCGGCTGTGCTCCGCAACTCAAATCTCTCCTGCAGCTTCTGAAAGGCCCCAAGCGCCTTTTCCTGGGGGTCAGTTGGTGATTAACCCAAGAAACTTATAGGGCAGAAAGGATCCCCCACCTGGGGCTCCTGACAGCGATACAATTTTGCCCTTGTTGGCCTGGAGCAAAGTTACAGTGATTTCCTCTCGCAGGCTCAAGAGGACAATCTCCGTGTCAGCACTGCTTGCTCTGCATCTCTTAACTTATTTCAGGAGTGAGCTCAAACCTTACAACCCGTCACCAGGCAGAGTTTTAGGAACGGAGACAATGAAGAGAAATGCAGCACAAACGCTTTTCAACAAGAGTCAGTTTATTTCTTACCAGACAGACTAAATTCAGTATTGTTTGTAACATCAACGTGTGCTAGGTTTAACGTAACAAACCTCAAAGCTGTGACGTGTGCTGTGACGATGTACCGTGCTCCTGCCCCATGAATTCACCCCGGCAGGAGTTCTGCTCCTATCACTGATCAAAACGGTTACTTTAGGTTCTCCTGCATTCTCAGTTTCTTTCTCACATCATCCTATGACAATTTCTGTGGTGTGGTTACACCTTTTGCACATCAGGATTTCTACGAGTAGGAAGAACACAGACATTTAAAATATCAATGTATCTAGGCAAGGAATAGTTGAATAAATTTAATCCACACATTATAGTTAAACTCGATGCTAGAATTGTTAAAACCCTCTTTATCTCCTGAGCCACATAATATCAACATTTCATATCAATAAGTTATTTGTATTCAGTACAAAGATAGTGAGATAAGATATGCGGATCAACCCCAAGCTGCCAGAAACACAGGTGCAAACTAATAAATGTAAAATATGACAACCAAATCTCAAACCAAACTAGCCAAAGAGTAACGTTAAAAAAATCTAAATCTCATAACTTTGTGATACCCTCTTTTCAAATTTTAAAGTGAAGGTATTAAAAACAATACTCATTATTTCAGCTGCTGCACAGCTTTTTAAAGGTTAACACTGTGTGCATGTTGTAGTTTGATTACATTTAAATACTTTAAAACAGAGGTCTTTTTTTTTTCCTAAGCACATGCTCAAATGATTTGAACATATTTACTAAATTGTATGGTTTCAACAGCAATTTAATAAAATCACTAATTTAGCAGAACCTGGTGCATTTCCTTTCACAAACTTGTATTCTAAAATTGCAAATTCATAAATATTAGCATTTTAAATATTTAATCTTACATGAATACTGGGTATTTTTAGCATTGTTTTCCTCCTGTTTCCAGGTATTAGTTTGATAAGGAAGACACTTTTACATCACAATCTTGTCTGATACTAGACTGTATGGTATGTTCGATTACAGTATTTAAGAATCATTATTTTAAAACCTATTTACTAAAATAAACCTAAAAGAACTTATCAGAAGAGTTTTATATACCAGGGCCCAGCTGCAGAAGGGAAACCATATTTGGCTGTTAATTGTTTAATTAGTCTCATTATTTTTTTCTAAGCTCACTTCCATCAGTTAGGCCTTACAGCAGCCAGGCTCTGTAAAGCCTAGCTGACAGCGCTGCAACGTTGACAGTTTGGGGCGAACCTGGGAGCCCTTAAAGCAAGTTCAACTCCTCCTCGGGGCACGAGCTCTAAAGAGAAGGCGCGCTGGGCGCTCGGCCTGCGCGGGCGGCCCCTTAGCGCTTGCCCGTTTCGGCCCTGGGCGCGGGGCCGTCGCCCGCTCTGTCCTCGCTCGGCGCCGCCTCCGGCAGGGCCCTCTCGGCATCGTGGGGGGCGGCGGCGGCTTTCGGCAGCGTCATCTGCAGCGCGCACCACAGCGTCGTGCGCACCTTGCGCGTCGCCACGCTCATCTCCTTGATGGCCAAGGCCAGGGCAAAAACATCTGCGGGGAGGGCAAGACGGTGCAGCTTTAGTGCAGGGAAGCCGCTGGAAATGAGCTCACCCCAGGGATTCCCAAGAGCAAAACTGGTCGGGCTCCTCTCAGTGCCTTGTTTCTCTGTCATTAAAGGGCTGTGTAAGTCGAAGCTAAGAAAACTGGAATTTTTAGGCTCTGATTAAGAATAGGCATGGAATTTGTGTAATTATTGTTTAACAGCAGCACTTTATGCCTTGTGGCATAAGGTGCTTGTGGGCACCTCTGCTTCTGAGGGCGCTGCATGGACCGCGTGCTGCAGGAAGCTCCTTCCTCCCTGCACAAAGTCTCTGCTCCGTATTCTTAGCAACCTCTTCAGATCCATCAACTGGAGCCTTTACCCATCTCGCCTAAGCAATTACTCAGGCAAGAGAGCTGGAGGAAAAACTGCTCCATAGCATTTTATTAAAGCATGTAGACCAGGCTCTGCATAAACTGTGGCAGAAACCATCACCTTAAAATGAAGAGGTGGCCAAGTGGTCCATTTACTCAAGAGCTCAGCACTCAACACATATGTAAAGTAAGAATTTTGTTTAAACAGAACTTGCCAAAACAGAGGCCATAGTTGGTAGGTTCTGCCTTTTAAGGTACTTGGTATAGTATGAGATGGAACAGGAAGGTGCTGTGAAACCTCTTCCTTAAGCAGTGGGACCGGGGAAGATCTCAAGGTCTGACAGGCGTCTTTTCCAGACAGCCTCCAAACAGCTCCCTGATCTGGTCTGCAGTAGTGCTAAAGCCAATGCCAGTTATTTGGATAGACTTAAAGACCCCTCAAATACTTAAAAGAGCAAGCAAATAACTCAGTCCTCAAGGGAAAGAGAAACAAGCCCACAAGACTGTCAAGAGGTGAAAGAAAAATCGCTACAGTGTCTCCTTGGAAGTAAACCCAGTGGCAGAGCTGCATGGGGGACACCTGAGAGGAGCCTGTAACCCACGGAATTCCGCTGCGGGGACAAAGGCAGCAAAGGAAGAACCCAGAGAGCCGCAAAAGCCTGAGGAAACTTCCCCCACAAAGACATTTTCCAACAGACAGCAGGATTTTTCTCTGATTCACATCTGCCTAGATACTAGTGAAAGATAAAGCTGAATTTTCTGCATGTTTTGGATACCATAAAAATATTCCACCCCTTAATGTTTGCATTTCCATCCACGATGCAATTTACATTTTATGAGAGAAATGCTTAAAAGAAAAGACCATGTATAGATTCCACATGGAGACTGTAAAGCAAGCTTTACAGCAGAGACACAGATGGGATAGAGAAGACGGTAACAGGAATATGAGGAACTGGAGGAAGAGGGGTATAATAGCTGGATGTCATCTCCAGTTCCAAAATGCAGTGAAAAAATAAAAAGAGAGAGAGAGAGAAAGAGAGAGAGAGAAGGAAAAAAATAGTAACTTCGTTACTTTCTAGTTTATTTATGAGATAAATGATTTAACCATTTTCCCTCAATGAATATTTTCACTAGCCTATCAAAACCATTATCTGAAAGCAATGCAGTCTCCTTTCCTCAAAGCTCTAGACACATAAAAACAACAAAAAATGCTCCGGACTTGCCACATGCACGGAATTCTTCAGCTACCTAAGAAGGGCACATAAACGTATTCATACCTCTGTCATCCTGGCCCCTGGGAGCTCCCTGCCTTCGTCGATTCGAAGCGTTCACAATTTCATCTTTTCGACGAGACTGCACCACGTGAATAACCTCCAGGTGCTTATCGAGAGCAGTGGAAATGTTAGCGTGAAGGGGAGAGCTGCGAAGGCGTTCCATTTTTCCCAGTAAAGTCACAACCTAATTCAATAGTTTAAATCTGTTACAAGAATTCATACTCAAGACTTAAACGAAAACTAACCGGTTTACAAAGAAAAGCTTCACATAACAGTTGCATTCCTTTGAGAGCAGTATTCAAGTTATACTTCACAACAGTTAAATTCTTACCTAGGATTTCATCTTCTGTGAGCCAGAAGGTGCACAAAACCTGGCTGTAACACAGCTACACCGAGGTCTTTTTAAGCTAAAATATCCAAATATCAGGATACCTGATTGGCTAAAGCTGCTGTGGAAACATAGCTACACACTGACTTTCAGCCAGTGCTAAAGGTGCTATTTCAGAGAGTACCAAGCACAAGAAACCCCCAATTTTTTTCAGTTTTATTCAGTTCACTTGAAAATCTTTGTCTTTTCTTGTCTTATTTCATATCTTAAACACCTTACTATGAATTTGGCCAGTGCTTTCCCAAACTATTTCCAACAGATCACTGAAGACCTGTAAGGAAGCCTGGTGATTAATGATCATTCACAGGTTTTAAACAAACAAACAAAAAGACCAGAAAAGGAAACGATGCTTATTGGGCAACGGCATCCAGAAGAACAGAAGACAGCAGCCCACTTGGCACTAGGGTTTCTGGTTATCAGGCTCAGGGCAAAAGCAATCGAGAGCTGCCTCCAGTTCCCAGAACTGTCCTGCTCTCCTTTGTATCTGGCAAAAGCCTGGAAGAAAATACCTGTAGGCAGGAATCAACTACACAAGTTACTGTGGCAGCAGCAGCAACCAGCAGACTCCAAAAATGGTCACGCTTCATATTGATAAGGAAGCTGAGAGGTTGGAAAAGCAAAGTGGAAAGAGTGGGTGGAATTTTGCACAAACAACTGAGCAATCGGTCACTAGGATATGGGATGGAGCTGGGTTAAGTTGTTTGAAAGTAACTAGACTTGTTTCTGAAGAAAAGAAACCCATCCCTGAGCTGGATATTAGGATTTTGTAAGCAAGTGAAATCAAGCAAGATCAATCTGACAGTCATGCTGCAGATTTGCTTAAGAGAATGTCCGGAGCCACCCCAGGACAATTTCTGTGAGGCCGCCTTTGGGCACCACCCTCTTCCAAAGGGATCTGGTGTCCTGGGTTAGGTGCCTGCGTTCTCTGCACGACGCCTGGGAGAAGTGCAAGGGGTCTAAAGGCAAAATCCACAAAAGGCAGCAACTCAGGCTCATGTTGTGTCATGTAACTATCTACATTAACTGCGTCCTAGAGCTGGGTATAGTCTAGTCAGCTGCATTCTGGCCCTGCCTGCATGCTAGAATATACATCCCCCTAGCACGTATGTGCATTAAGGTACTCAGTGTGTGCCCTCCTAACAGCAGCAGTGAAGCTGGAGATGCAAAAAATCTAACAATCCTAAAAATTCCAAGTACTCTTCCCTGCACACTTGTACAAGGCTGATTTGTAAGGAGCAGCTCTGTTATCCTGGGTGTCTTACACAGTACTCTACGTTCAGCGGGGTAAATTCAATGGTTTTTTTAGTCATTTTGCAACTCACTCGGGCTTGTTCACGTAGCTGATCCACAATTAAGCGGTCAACTCTTGATGGGTTTGAGGTCAGCCTTGGGATCGGAGTGTTGTTAGAACTGGAAACCTTTTTCCCTGGGTAGTTCTTAGCAAGAGCTGATTCAGTCTGCAGACCAAAAAAAGAAAAAAAAAGGAAGATTTACTCTCTAAAAATCAGAATTTGTAAACTGTGCTTTACTATAACAACAAGAAATATCAGGTACCTGATTTTTTATTTTCTTGAATTAGATTCTCCCTCAGGGTTTTGTTTTTTCTTAAAGAGTGGATAAATATGGATATAGTCATTTGAAATTTAACCACTCAGTAATAAAATAACCTCTTTTAAATGGACAACAGCTTTACGTGAAGCAGTATGAATAAAATACTTAATGTGAAGATAATGTGATTCAGAACTGCTGTATCAGATGACATCCTACATTAATTCTGTCTGCAAATGAAATGGTGGCAGGATAGAATCACAAAGCAAGAAAGAACAAGCAAAGAGATGGGAACTTCGTCCACTAAGTTCAAAGTATTTAAGTCAGCAAATAATCTAAATTTTGTATGTATTAGTTGAGAAACTATTTTTTTTTTCAATCAAACAGTATTTTACTTAGTCATCGGAAACTTACATTGAAACCTGATCATAAAATTTCAAATTTCAGCATGATTTTACTCACCCCACTTTCTTTTGTCACTCTGGAACAATCCACCTAGCTAAAACTACTAAAAAGTTGCACTTCTTAGGTTATTTTTTGGTGGTCCAGTTAAGGATGCAACCTAATCTTCTCCAGGCCTTCTGTTTCCCAGCATCCCTGTAATCCTCCGCGCATCAGCACTTTCCCTTTGGCATTTTTCCTCGCCAAGTACAGATACCAACCTCTCCTCCTCATGCCAAACTCCATCTCCCTCCAACTGCTCTACTCAGAGCAACCCCTGGCTTTTGACAGCATTTAAGGTAGATTTCCATCAATGTGTTTCCTATTTTCCTTTCATAATTAAGTTTATTTTAGAGGATTGGCACAGCAGAGCTATTCTTAAGTATTTTTTGGTCAAATTTCTCTCACAGAAAGTGGTGGCTCCAACTGCCTTTTCGAAGTTCAATACCAGCTTGAACTGGCAAAATGAAGACACTTTTTACATTCATCAAAGGGCACTGAGGCACAGTCTAACAAAAAAGAAAATTGCTTTAAGTAAGGTAAACCTTTCAAACAGAACTCTCTGGATATTTTAAATTTAATGTTTTATTACATTACTAATTACTAGGCTGTTTTTTCAGCTCATATTTAGTATATCCTAAATGTAAAAGTTCACGATAACAGGAAGAGGTCTGAAGGATTTGTTGAAAGCACAGAAGTGTAGGGCATAAGAATATTAATTCTTAAAAGGATTAAAGTTCAGTCCTTGTTCTAAATGCATTTAATGGATTTGCTTTCTAAGTTTCCAGATAGAGTGTTTATCTCATATGTTTAAAAAAAAAAAGTAACACGATTTTGATATTTGTGGAACATGCACCCCCTTCCCCTACCCCGACACAAAGAGGTTGAAAAAGACACTGAATTCCTGCTTTAAGTGCAATATTTGATATAAAATTAACTATGCTACCACCAGGGCTACAAATTTCCCCACGTGAGTAATCAAAGTAAATTATTTTCTAAGTGCCATTAAGTGTTTCAATTTCCAACCCATAATAGTGAGAATTACCCACATGTTATCTAACCGATCTGGACTTTGATGAGATCTAAATCAATGTTTATGATATTGATTGCAGGATAAAATCAACATTTTATTCTTTACCTTCTTCCTTTCTTTCTCCAAAGCTCTCCACTGCTCGTGGCATTCTTCTAGCCTAACATATAATTCACTGGCAAGGCCACTTCGTGTTTTAACCGGTCTTTGGAATCCAAATGCTGGTACAAAACCAGAGAACGCGCTGTCACCATACATCATATCATTTAAATATGGATAGAAGTGAGTTAAATCATCGTAAGAAAACAGGCCGTAAGATTCCATCAAAGGCACAACTGACTGGCTGAACGGACGGGCTGCTCTCAGGGGGAAGCTATTTGAGCCCAGCTGCTGATTGGGCCTCAAGTCACTCATCAGGTAATTGCTGGAAAAGCTTGAAATCTGCGGGCGAGTCACGCGAGTCACCGCATTAGCGTCTCCACCTCCCTGTCTGAGGTTAAACTGACCCTGAGACTCCATTAACTCTTGGTACGCGTTCTGCAACAACCCTTCGGGGTGCTTCTGTCCTTCTTCCAGGTCATAATGTCCATCCTGCGGCTTCAGTTGGAAGCAGTGTTTGCTCACATTTTCCGTGATCTCAAATTGTTGCGCCGAATAATTTTCACAGAATCCGTTTGGATTCTGCTTTAATTTCTTGTCACTTACAGACTCAAAGAGATTCTCCTCTCCAGTCTTCACTAGTGATTCCACATAAGCAGTGGACTGAGCTCGATCTGCAGTATTATAACCAAAATCAAAACTGGAAAAAAGTGAAGGGTTATCTTGGCAGCACTTGTGAAATAAATTACTATTTAAAGGGAAATTTGAAGGTGACAACTGAAAAAAATCATTCGAATGACTGAAACTTTTTGAAAGACTAGATAAATGATTATTCAGTTTTACCAAAGGACTTGGATTCTGAAACGGGACCGATGCAGTGGTTTTAGTCTGAATGTTCATCCAACTTGGCCTCACGTTAGTATTCACTGAAGTGTTTGCGGAGCTTGGTAATAATGTAAGGGATTTACAATATTCAGAATTCTGTACATCACCTTTGGAAAACTGCTGCTTTTCTACAACATTTGTACAGTCACTATTCCCTGGAAATGATGTAAGAGATTTTAGTCCATACTCTGATTTTTGGCCAAAATCAGTACAGAAAGAAAGTTTATTTGCAAATTGTTTCTCTGACATAAGTCCTCCAGCCTTGGAAAATGTGAAGTTTTGTTGATCTTGAATTATATCTTCCATTTTTTTCTGAGTTCCTGGTTTAACTTGAAATAACTTAGTGTAGGTTTCTGTGTCCATAGAGGGTGCTTCAGTTGTTCCATTTACTAACTTTTTATTTTCTTGGAGGCTACAATTGCTACTCTTGCTAGCTTTTGCTTTACTAGGATGAGAATACTCAGTGTATCTATTATAATCTGCATTTTCATTATATCTGTGAAATTGTGGAAGAAATGTTTCTGCCTGCTTTTGATGTACCTGCACATCTGCTCCTTTGGGACATCCCTTCTCTCTTCCGTAAGAATAATTATCAGCTCCTGAGTCTTTGATTGCTTCTGAAAACCCAGCCTGAGGTGTAAAGGTGTTTTTAACATATGGGAAGTTCTGTAATATGGGTGCTGTCTTAATATTCTCCGTAGCCTGCATGTTGTAACAGGTGGCATGATCATTCCGAGAAGGGTATAACCACGGCTCTTCAAACTCCGTGCTCGCAAACCCGTGGTAACATTCATCTGCTTTCTGCTGGGATGCGAGATTACCACTTTGCAAGTACTGTTTGTCAGCAGGAGTGGATTCACCAGTAAAAAAAGCCTGTTGTGAAACAGCAGCTACAACTGGTCTTTTGGGTTCTGGCAGCAGGTCATGGTGCTCTGGAATTCTGGTGGTGTTCACAGGCCATGCTGACTTTAAGCTGGAAGAGCAACTCCTTGAAAACAAAATAAAAACAAGGAACGCATGGTTAGAACTCTCTCTCTGCTCTTCCTCTGCCAGAAGGAATGCAGCAAAACCTCTAAAAACCTTGTTCTTGAACCGACCACATCTCTTGAGATCCAAAAGCATCTCACCCAAACCTCCATCTACTACTATCCTCAGTTAAAAGTTACCAGCACGTTTGGATGCTAGTTACTGTGCAGGAACACAGAACCCTCATTGACAATTTATGCCATAAGCTCTTAAATTATGGCATATTTTCACCTCATGAATGTCCTTATTTAACAAGGACACCAGTTTTTAACATCCACTTGTACAATCTGTAACCTTAAAGAATGAGGAAACATAGACGCACACTGAATTTGCGACCTGCCCCACCACTCATTTCACTATTTCAAATTTTATTAATTTTAGATTAATTATAATTTAAACTTCACTAATTATAATTTTACAGGATGTTTTCCTCAACATTTTCGAAGTGCTCCCAGTCCTCAGATATCTGCTGCACCCTGTGCCATGGGACAAGCCCAGATCATGATGGCCCTGGGCAGCACCCAGTAACTTGAATGCTTAGACAAAAAACTTCTATGTATCACATAAAAGTGAGGGGGATATTATTCAGAAAAAAAAGCAGAATGCCGCTAGAGCCTGCACAGCAGCTTACTCACCCATCAGCAAAATACGGTTGTGATTTTTCCTGTTCTTCCAAGATGTTAGACACAAGTCCATATAAATCTGTTTCACTACCATAATCATTCCTTTCAGGCTGAATCCTGAAAATAATTATTTATATTAAAATATTTAATCAAGCTTAAAAAAAAATCCACCGATTCATTTGACATAAAATCTCTATCTGGCAAAAATGAGTACCTGGACTTTACATTAATCTGAGAACCTGGAGGCTGCTTAGTATCGTCTCCATATATAGACCACGGTGCGTATAAAAGGGAAGAGTCCACAGGTGCAGAATATTCTGATGTTGAAAGGGGAGAATTGTAGGTCTGAGGTAGCTCTATACTATCTTCATTCTACATTTTAGATAAAATAGAATTATTTATGTTAACATTTATCACGTCAAATTGTCATTTCATTTCAGAATGGCTATAAGAAGCAATATCAAAAAGAGATTTTACTCTCAGTTCCATATGGCTTTTTGCCCAATTGGTCTCTACTTCACAACTCCGTTTTCCATGTCTGTAAAACACTTCTGTGAGCAAAAAACAGCCCCTCATGGGACTGAACAGAGAGAGGTGAAGACACAAGTCTCCTGCAGGGTAAGTAATGGATCTTGAAGATAATGGGGAACAGGCTTTATTAATTTGAGTTTTTCACTTCAGGGAAGATTTATGGCTACAAATGCCAAAAAGGAGTGATCCAACGTGCTTAATTCTCTTGACATTTTCTACTGCGAAGAATTTTCCAGTTCCCAAAAGACTGGAAAGACTGCTGTTCAGCAGACTACTTTCTGTAAGCAGAATGTCTGGATTCGGAATTTATGGTATACCATAGAAATATCTGCTCAGTACACGTCCTTCTCCTATTCACCAACTTATCTGCTAACAGAAACATTTCAGTAAAAAAAAAAAAAAAAAATTGCCACGTGCTTCCCTAACTGCCACATGCCTTCATCTCTAAAGCTCTCCAACAGCTCCTATCACCTCTGAACCTTTCTTTTTAAAAGCTCGGCTTCTGTTAATTTCTCCCCAATTCCCTCTGTTCATCCTCTTTTTTTTTTTTTTTTGACTGTTCTTTTAAGTCACAACCTCTTGACTTTGCTGTTATGACACCTCTTTTTCCTTCACTCTTCATCATTTTCACTCCTCACACAGCCACCTCCAGCTTCTATATTCTTGATTTCACTCTAGGTGAACCTGGCACGAATAGTGAACCCAATACAAATAACTTCAGTAATTACCCTTCAGCTACAGATCTATTTTCTCTCAACTGTTTCCCCAAGCTGGCCCTAACTAGTCCCACATTTTAACATGACAAAGTTAAAGTCTCGCATGGCTCCCTCTTGGCTAAATACACCTAAATCTGAAGTCCTGATTTCTCCTCCCACACTGTTCTTTGCTCCACACATTCTCTCATGCTGATCAATGTCACCTCTTAGCCATTTGCCAGCTTTCGACACAACCACCTGCATGGTCTGTCACTCTTCTTCATAACTGAACTGGAAGTTTCATTTTTTTTTTAGTTTTAGCAAAACTAAAAGTTCAACCTGAACCGATCTACCATCCTTTCCTCTTTCAAATATTTTAAGTCCCATTTCTGCTGTGATGTTCTCAAGGGACCAGTCAATAAACCAAGAGAAAAAGTGCACAATAAACAAAGCAGAAGACTTAACATATGAACCATGAAAGTGATCAGACAAACAGAAAAGGAGAGCAATTCCATCATTATTCTGAAATATTTGTTAAATTGAAGTTTCTTCTGAAGGATTTTTTTTTTTAAATTTGGATATGATGACGGAAATAATTTCTTCATCTATCAGAAAACAGACATTATACAATAAAGAGATCTATGCTACTTTAGACAAAGTATGTAGGGAAACAGAAGATGAAATACACAATAGGTGAACAACCTGTATTGTGACTGTATTTAAAAAACCCCACATCTTTCATGATTAATATTACCTTAAGATATTACAAATAAATCAAACATAGCTATTATATTCTACAGCATAAGCAATTGTATTAGAAATACTTTTTGATTGCTGTGTTGACAAATAACCTAAACCCTTAAAAAATACATATATGTACCTATAAAACATATTCATATGTATATAAAATCTCATTTACAATCAACTGAACCTGTGATTTGTAGCAATCATATAGTGAGCCAGAGCCTGTCATTACACTGCTGAACACATCAGTCAGCCTCCCGCCAGTTTCCGCGCTGCTCCAGCAGCGACTGCCGCCTCTGAATGCAACTTTAGGCTATGTAAGACACAGGAAAAACAAAAACAAGTAGGACATAATTACACATAGATCTAAGAATTTCAGACTTTATATACTTCGGGTCTTCCATTTGCCTGCAGACTCTCGTCTGAATTTTCAGATCTTCTATATATGGACATTTTAGCACTTTCATATTTAGTCTCAGTTAAAGGCCCCTTCCAGCAAAATACAGGGATTTCATAAGGATTTCAAAGACAGGGGAGATGCAAAGGGAAATCTGCTTTGTCTGCGTCACACTAGCTATCTTGAGTTTTGAACCAGTTGAAAACGCAACAGGAAAATACCAGATCGTGTAGGTAAGCACTAATGTTTTCATCATTTTCATCGACAGCAGTGGAGGAGACACTTGGCCATTTCTGTATCGCAAGATGCCTCCTATTGATAACTATCCTTTTATCACTGTTCTTACTACAGAAATTACATGGACGCAGACATCCATGTTCCAGGAACTTGGATTGGACCATAATACACACGCCAGGAGCTGCCCTGAGAGTCTGGTCTGATCTGTAACGACTTTCACATAAGAAACACTCTCCTTCCCGCCACTCTGCTCTCTGCCAGCCAACCTGAAGTCAACCTGAAGAACAAGTGGCTGGTGGAAGAAGGGGATGAAAAGAAACCAAAAATAGGGCTTCTCTTTCTCCCCTTTTATTTAGAAGGCTGGGGTACATAGAAAATTAAAATTAAAACTAAGTAAAATAGGGGAAAAAAGGATTATTTTCATGTTTTAAATATGACAGCTGTCCCTCATTTGAAATGGTTATTGAATTTAGGAAAAGTTGAAGCTTCACAGCATTAGAGTCCCAACATAAAAGAACTCCTATAGACTGGCAGATCATTAACCATGCAGTGCTAACTGCTTGCCCTTATTACTGCCTCATATGGAACATCAGTAGTAGGGGCGTGTTTTTTAAGTGCTCCTCTTACTGCTCTGTATCTCACATTTGCAGGCTACAGCTTGATCTTCCTTCCAGGTTAAATGAACAGTTATAGTGACGGATTTTAACATAACGGTTTTAACATACATATTCTACATATATGAACATGCAAAGACAATTAATTATTGTGGAACACAGTCTCTTTCTCTCACCATTTATGCCATATTTTCTCCTTATTTTATGATCATTTAGCAAGGACACCCAGTGCTTAATACCCATTTGTCTGTGGATATTAAGGTGACAGTCTCTGACCTTAAGAATGAGGAAACATAGACACCCGGGGAATTTGTGCCCTTCCCACCAAATACACTCATTTTGTTACTCAAAATTTGATTAATTTAAAATTAAATCCTAATTAAAGCTAACTAATTAGCATTTTACAGGGTGCTTTCCTCAACACTTTCCAAGTGTTGCCAGGCCTTAGAGATTCGCTTCACTCTGTGCCATGGGACAGCCTCAGGTCGGGCCAGCCCCGGACGCCCTTTGGGGAGGGCACGGGCAGCGCCAGCCGTCACCTAACAGGTTCAGGAGCAGGGAACCCGCTGCCCCGCTCAGGCACGGGCGCGCAGGTGAAGCTCGGTGCTCGGGATCGCTCCCGTCACCCTCTCGCGAAGCCCAGCGCCGCCACGGCCGCCTCCCCAGCCCTGTGTAGACCCCGCCCCTCACCTCCATGGGCGCCCCGCCGGCGGCGGCAACGAGCCCGGCCGCCCCTCACGCGTCGCCGGCGCGGGCGGCCTGAGGCGCGGGCGGCCGTTAGCCTCGCGCCGCGGCGCGGGCGGGCCAACCGCCGAGCCCGCCCCCCGGGCGCGCTCCAAGGGCATTGGCCAACGCCTCGGGCCGCCTGGCCAATGAGGAACCGCTCTGCGCCCTCGCGCCCTCTCCTCGGCGTGAGCGTCTCGCTCCGGCACGAGGCCGTGAGGCGTCGGGCGCTTGATTGGCTGCCGGGCAGCCAATGGGGAGCGGCGGAGGGGCCGCTCACCCGGAGACAGCGCTGAGGCGCCTGCGCGCCGCCCCCCGCGGCCGGGCGGCGCGGACCGGAGCGGCCCCGCGCCCGACCCCGCTCCCGGGCGGCTCCTCCTGCCTGGGCGCCCGGCCACCACGTTGCGAACGGAGGAAAGATTTCTCCGTTGCCTGACTGTGGCAACAGCAGCTCCTGCCCTCAGTGCTGCTCTGTAGCTGCCTGCCATGGGCCTGACTGGGCCCCTCATTACCGAGTCGATGGTCAAAGACTCCTGGAGCTGAGTGTTGTGGGTTTAAAGAGTAAATAGATAAAAACTGGGGTTAAAAAAAAAAAAAAAAAAAAAAGCTAGAATTGCTAGAAAGGAAAGCCAAGGAAGGAGAGACAAAAGGCGGCCAGGTCAAAGAGCAGGGTCACAATGTTGCCAGCTTTTGTTTCATTATAAGTCCCGTCTTGCTGCTGCTCTGGGGAAGGTGCAGGGCTCTGTCCTGGGGGCAGCAGCAGGTACCTTTGCTCCCAGGTTTTGCCTGGTCCTTCGCAGTGGAAACGGCCAAGGGGTTGGCAGCCCTGGCCCTGGCTCCACACGCTGCCCCTGCGCTCCAGGCCCTGCCCCAGGGCAGTGCGGCAGCCGCAGTTTGGGGAGCGCTGCAGGCTCTCGTCTGCTTCCCCGCTACCCTGTCCCGCACAGGTTCGGCCACCGCAGTCCAGAGCTCCTTGGGCTGGAATCCTGCTAACATGGGAAGCAAGCTGGAGCTCAGGGTGAGATAGGGAATGGCCAGGGGTCCCGGATCTGCTGCTGTTTGGTTTGGGAAGCTTTGCTTTTGCTTGTTGAAAAGGTTGGAAAGCTCATGCCTTGAGGAGAGACATGCTGCTCTGTGCTCACACCTGCATGGCCCCCTCGCCTTGCTCTCCCCTCGCCTGCCCCTGGCTCCCAAGGCCCTACCTTGAAGCTCCACAGCCATATCCCAGCTCTAGCCCTTCTCCCTACAGCCCTGGGCAGGACGTGGACTCGACCAGTGTCTGCACAGAGACCAGAGCCGCCCTTGTCCTCGGGCTGGGCGGGCTCCTTCCCGCTCACCCCAGGGCTGTGGGCACCAGGGCCCAGCCGGAGCTGCGCGGAGAGGGCAGCCCTGCTGGAGGGCACCTGGGCTGCGACTGAACCCGGGCTGCTCCTGGCACCATCCCCGACCTGCTGACAAACACGTTAACTGGTAATGGCTGTCTCGCAGCCAGGTGTGATCGCTACCACTCCGCCCATCCATCTCCTACCCGTCTCTCCCTCGCTCCTTCCCTCCTCATTCTAACCCTTGCATCTTCTGCTCCCCTCTTTCACTGTCCGTCCTCCTACTCTTCCCTCCACTCCTGTACCTCCCCTCCATCTTCCATCCATTCCTCTATCTCTTCCTTCATTCTCCTACCACACTCTTCCTCCATCCCATCCTCTTTCCACCCATCCATCCATCTGTTTTTTCTCTATTCCCCGCCTTGCTCTACTATTCCCCCTGTGTATCCATCCCTACCCATCTCCGTCCATCCCTTCCTCCACCCCCTCTCCCTCCATCTCTGCTCTCTAGCCCCACACTTATTTCCCTGCTCCTGTTTCCCTGGATCCAGCTGCCCACGGATTTCCCCATTGAGCTTAGCTCCATCTCCCGTTGCATCCAGAGGAACAGTCCCCGCTTGGAGCAGCCAGCACTTCCGAGGCCACTGAATTCAGGCAGCGTGTTCTGCGGTCAGCCTTGGCCTCTGCTTATTGCAGCGCACACGTGAGCAGCTCAGCGGGCTGAGGCGCTGTTACCAATACAGTTTTAAGGACCCTGGGACACAGGGTTAGTGGGACAATGTGTTACTAGTTACCCGGTAGCTGGTGATATGATCGGGATGTAACTGATGTCCTGCTTGTTCACGGATGCTTTTGCCTCTATTCAAGCAGAGGATGAAATTTGTAAGAGTTGGTCTGTTTTTGACACACTAGATGTGCTGCCCTCTCTCTGGGGAGCCAGGCTCTGGCTCAGATGCACAAATTGGAAGGGCTCTTCCTGGTGTTCTGCATTCCCTGGGTATCGCACTCGCGGAGCGCTCCGCTGCTTGGATTAAGTTCATACCACTCAGGTAGCTTTGCTGGGCTCATGTTCAGTGAAACTTAATTGGCATTTTGCTTCTTTGAGACTTCAAACTTCCTCTGAAGTTGGGACAACAGCTTTACTGTGTGAACTGTACACACCAGAAAGGAATCATTTATGAGGAACCATAAAAATGTTCAGCTTAGGTAGGAAGAGATGCTGTGCGCTGAAAACTGGGCAAGAGTCTGGACTTACCCAAGGCCTTAAGCACTGTGAGAATTCAGTACAGGTAGGATATGAGCTGTTGAACAGTCCAGGGTAGAGCTCGCTATTTCCATAAACACCCAGAGCTTTTATTTTCCTGTGTTTACATCCCCTGGGAGACTCTTCAGGGGTATGAGCTCAAGGCCAAATGGTAGAGATTTGTGAAGCATTTTGTGGTGAGAAAACGCTAAGACCATGGCTGAGGTAGAGCTCAGTGCCTGGAGAGGCAGCCGCGTGGCACCAAATCCCCCCAGACCGGGGGCCTCTTGCCAGGCCACGGGCCCGTTCAGCCCCTGCTGTTTACACCTCAAAGTCACTACCTGTTTCATGCCTAAGGGAGGCTGGAAAGCCGAACCCCAGCAGCACGGCCAGCCCAGCAGGAAGCAGCTGGGTTATTTATGGGGAGCCTCTTCTCAAAGGCGTTTCCTGTGGCAGGGATTTCTTTGCAGGAAGAGATACAGATTGTGAATCCCCACTCAATTACCAATATTAATAATTCATTATATTGTCAAAGCCGAGCACAGGGAGATGAAGCAGGAGGCGATGGGCTAAGCTGCTTCCCAGGCTGCCGACATCTGCTCCGGAGGCAGCGTTGGACCTTGCTTTGGAGTCCAACAACTTGCCATCCTATCAAAACAGAAAAACAGCAGCTGCCGTTTCCTTCCCCCCAGGACATCGCCCGGGGCGGGGGTAACATCACTCAGAACAAGCTGCTTTCACCGCTCTGTCCGCGGCAGCTTCGCCTGCAGGGGCTGTTCAGCCAAACCCCAGCTCCGCACGCAGATCCACTAGCTACGAGCGGCTGCCAAGGGCCCTGCTGGCAGGGGACGCACCGTGAGCCGGGCCGAGGCCCTACGCAAGGACGAGGGCAGCGCTGGGCTAAGACACGTGTCGAGAGCCCCACAACAGCGAGCAGCTCCCGCACCGCGTCGCTTGGGCCTTTCTGGGGGCACCAGGCTGTACTCCGTGGCACCAAGCGCCGCGCTCCTGCTGGCCCAGGCCGGCACGGTGCCTCACGGCATGCTCGCTGCCTCAGGGGGACGCTGCCGTCGGGCCCCCCTCCTCGCAGCGGGCGGAGCTCGGCCCCAGCCGTTCCTTGGTAACACCGCGGTGCCAGGACACGGAACGGACCCCCAGCCGGGACACAACCCCCTCGAACGCGCCCTCCTCCTGCCGCCATTTTGTTGCCTTCCTCTCGTGGCCGCCACCCCGAGCCCCGCTCGGCTCTTCGCCCCGCCCCCCAGCGACCATCCTGGCCAATCAGGACGCCGCTTCCAGTCGCGCGCCCGCTAACGTAAAAAGTAGATACCCTACCCAGAGGCAGAGTGCCCCGCCCCTCGGCCAATGGGGCGGGCGGTGGCTGCAGGCATCCGCCAATGGCTGCGCGCCCCGCACGGGCCCGGCCAATCCGGCCGGGGCTGCAGGGCGGGGCCGAGGCGGGCGGGGCGCTGGTGCCGAGGCGGCGGCGGCGCCGCCTCCAAGCCCCTCAACCGCGGGCTCCTGTCTGGGACCTGGCGCCGCGCGCCGGCCTGCGCGGAGAGGCCGGTCTGGTTCCTCTGCAGCCGTGGTGGGAGCGCAGCGTTTGTCTCGATACACAAGCCATGTCTTTGTTATATTCTAAATATATATAAAAATACAGTTCTAAATTTCTTCACTTAAGGGAAATCGCACTCCTCAAACGTAACTGTGATACTGGTCCAGTCAGTAAGACAGCCCTCAGATTAGGATGCTTAGAAGGTAACAGCTTAGGAGAAGCGGAGAGGAAGATCTAGAAGCCCCTCACCCTGTCCCATCGCCATCCATTTTGAGCCTTAACTGGCTCGCCTCTCTTCCTGCTGTTCAGGGCTGCGCAACAAGGGCCAGGAGGCGCCAGCCCGTCAAAACAGGACCGACGTGGGGAAAGGAATGGGGGATCGCATTCCCTGTGGATCAGATCCCTTCCCGGCGATGGCCCAGGAACCGCCCGCGCCGGGCCGGGCTGGCGCGCCACGCCTGCGCAGCACCGCCCCCTGGCGGCGGGGGCGGGGCCGGCGCTGCGGCGGGGGCGGCGCTGCGGGCCGGGCGCAGCGGCAAGATGGCGGCGCGGGTGAGTGGCGGGGAGCGGGGCGGGGGGGAGGGGGTTGTTCCCGCCGCTCCCTCCTCGCCCGTCCCCGCCGCGGGTCCCGTCCGCGCCCGCCGCCCTCCCGCTCGTCCCGTCCCGTCCGCGCCGGCGCTTCCCGCCTCTGCCCGGCGGCGGCTCCCCGTGCCCGCCGCGCCGGGGGGTGCCCCGAGAGGCGCCGCGACCCCCGGTGCCCCCGGCAGGCGTGGGCTGGGGCTCTGGGGTCCCCCGGGGGAGCCGGGCCCTGGGCGGTGCGCGGCGGGTGTGCGGAGCCTGGCGAGCGCCGCGGGCCCTGGGGACACCCCGCGGAGGGCGCGAGGTGGCAGCTTGTAGCGCCGGGGGGGTGCTGGTGCGCCGCGGTGCCCTGACGCACCCCTGAAACACCGTCCCCTGCCTTTATTGTGTGTGTGCGGGTGCGGATGTGTATGTAGTGCTATATTGCTGACTGCTTAGATAAAATTAACAGTTGGCCTGCAGGACTGTAAAACCGTAAGGTTAACCGTAACATCAAATCTGTCAAATCCCTTTCTTTCTCACGTGCTGAGCACCCTGTTTTCCGCGGCGCGGGGCGCAGGTGCCGCGAGCTGCCTGTGGCCCCGCGAGCCGAGGCGGCCGAGAGCCCCGCGGAGATGCTGCTGCTCAGCAAGGGCTGCGCGTCGTGCTGCGTGTCTCTGGAAACAGCCTCCTCTAGGACCACCGTCTTCCTAGGAGCTCTCGCTTCCCCTCGCTGTTTTCATCTCTGAGCTGATTCATCCAATTAAGCCTGGAAAAATCTTCTCATTTTTTAACTAGTATTTTTTTTTCCTAGCTCTCTATATTGGAAAAGTCTCGGCACTTTTATCAGTGGTAAGGTCACGTTGGCAGTAATGGGCATCACCCTGAACCTGTGGCTTGCTCTCACCCAGCTGGGTCTGGTCTTGCCGCTGTTGTTGCCCACCTGAACCTGCAGTAAGCGCTTTCAGGATGTCGAGTTGGCAGAGAACCACCTAGAAGGTTTGAGGGTTAGTGTTCATCGTGCCAATGTGCTAAAAAGTCCTGGTGAGTGGTCTGGGAGCTACGAGGTGGGAGCTGAGCACGTGGGGAGGCAGGAGCTGTCCCAGCTCTTCCCTGCTGCTGTGAGCTGCTTCTGGACGTCTCATTTAGGAGAACAGTCGGTGCTTAATGGCCACATAATCTGGCATTTGAAGCGTGTGATGCTTCTTGTGAGGTTATCGGGAACCTCGTTGCTATTAGGTGTTTTCATAAGTTATCCATAAATACATATTTGCAGAATTATCCGTTTGTTTAATGCTGAGAAGAGAGTTCTTGGGCAGAGTGTGAGCTTGGTCCAGCCGTGCCTGGTGCCAAATGCTGTTAATGCAAATTAATACCCAGACTGTCTGCTTGCGTGGGAAAGCGGCGGCTCATGCAGGCTGCGAGGACTATGACACCGCGGTCCTTGCCTGGCTCGTGCTCCCTGTGTTAAACAGGGGCGAGCGGGTGGGCGGGCAGCGAGTGGCAGCCCTGGGCACAGCAGGTGAGCCGCGTGCGAGGCCGCTGCCGATGTTCTCTTCTCAGCGGTTTAACCGTGCTTGAACCCAGGGAGTGGGTGCATTAAGCTGCAGGGACACTTGTGGCCTGAGAAAATGCCTTACAGGGAACTTCAGGGCTCCGTCTCTTTTATTAGCCCAGTATGGTTTGATTTGTGTGTGTGTGTGTGTGCTTACAGATAAAATAATGACTCCCATGTAGTAGAAGTGAGACGTTATCTTTAAACTTCCAGTAATTTGTTAAAATATGAAGCATGTTAATAAATAATATGTTAAAAAATCTAGAGAAATGCGAGGCTGAATGTTATTAATTGCCCAGAGCTTTTCCAGCGATGTTACCCCGCTCCCGTAATTGTACCAACTTTCCTCAGTCGCAAGGGAGAGAGTGATTAACCATGACTGGAGTTTGCAGGAAAAAGCGGCTCTGGACGACTGGAAATAGCGGCTGTTGCTGACGGTTCCTGGTGCCGCTGGTTCTGCGCGCGGGGACAGCGGGCGGGCAGAGGCTTCGCTCGCTCTGCTGCAGGAGGAGGAGGAGGAAGACGAGGAGGAGGGAGCCGGTCTGGCTGCCGCTGGGCTGCGCCTCCAGAGCGAGGGCTTCGCCGCGTGCCTCGTTTGAAGGAATTTAAGTTTACACTTAAGTGTAAGTTACACAAGAGCTGTAACTTGTATAACCCAACCTTTCTTTTATTTTTAATTTGCTAGGTGATACTCAGAGCAGGTGACCGAAAAGAGGAATTCTGTAGCAGAGTGACAGGAAGGATTAGTCTTTTCCCTTTGCAAAAGGGCTCCGTGTCTGTCTTACTAGAAGTGAGGTGGCTTTCCCTTGGCTTCCAGCAGCTGTTGAGTGACCTTGCAGAACAGGAGCATAACTCTGGAAGAGCCTGTGCCTGCAGCAGCCTCCTGCTGCCGTGGCGCGTCGGTCGCAGAGCCCGCAGCGCCTGCGCAAGCGGTGCGAGAGGCGGCTCGGCCCCTCTGCGCTGCGGGTGCCGGAGACCTTGCTGGACTCCTGCTCTCCGCCGCGCGCTCCTTGCGGTCAAACAAGGGTGATTGGAAGTAGGGCAGTTTGGTAAAAGCTTTGAAATAATTACAGTGGGTTTTATGTTATTTTGTGATGCTGGAAAGTCTCATTTTCCCTCTTTCTGCTCTCATAAGTAGTCAGTCTTTAAAGAGTCATCGGGCACCTAACAAAACATTTATGAATCAGTTTGCTCCTTTCTGGTAGTGGTGCTGATGCTGCTAGCACTGTCTAGCACTGCCTATTTTGTCCATTATTTCCTAGCATATAATATACAGAAATACTTATTTTGGCAGTACCTTCAGGGAAGGGGAGAGAACTTTGAATCTGTGATTTGAATGTAGGGTCACTGAGATCACTTCTGCAGCTATTCACTTGCCTTGTGAAATCACCCCGATGCACTTGTGTCCTTCTTACAGGATGTCTGCATTGCAGAAACCTGCGTGAGATTATTTGAGGTAACACTTTGTCAGTCATGTGGCTATTTAAATTTTGCCTTTCCCTCAAGTGGGGATTATCTGACTTCGTCATTGCTCGCCCATCAGTCACCTTTGATTAATTTGACGTTGCAGCTGCCACAGTAGAAATAGTTCAATTTGAAGTCAGTTAGAATTAATAAAATTTAATAGAATTAAAGTTCATTACCTTCTGTCAACAGAACTGTTGCAATTTAAGGAAACTTGATGTTGAGAGTGAAGGAGATGTTCCCTTTTCAAACAAGTCACTAAAAGCACAAATGTCCTGGCATCCCTCAGTTGGATTTGGTTCCTGGTGCATCTCCAGGTAAGCAGGACGTGGCTGGAACGGATGTGTCCTGCACATCTTTGCTGGTTAATGTCTTCTGTGCCTACAGCAAAGCTTTACTGGGTTATTTTACTTATTAGAATAAGAAATCAAAATTTAAATAAAAACTAGCTGTGGAAGAGCAAGAGGATGAATGGTCAGAGAGAAGCCTTAAGAGACTGTCTTGTCTGTGCTGCTTTTTTCTCATGTTGTGATTCACATCCTGGTCTAGTGCCAACACTGAGGAGCCCACAGAGGCTGGTTGTCCCCTTCTAGTATAAGAAATATGAGAAAAATGATTTTTGTGTTAGATGTGTGAGGGAGAGCAGAGGTGTGCTAACCTGTGTGTTAGAAAAGGGCAGTTTTGTGTCACAGAAGCGGCCCCGTTTCCGTCCTTCCTCTCGGGAGAGCTTCTTGATGCAGCAGGAAGCTTGAAGGCACCGCTCGTCATTGCTCATTGCCACGTAACGCTGATCGTGGGGATGCTTTCCTCAGTCCTACTCTGTTAACTTTAACCTTACGTTGTCTCAAAAAGGGGCCTGTGCTCCACAAAATGTTGCGGAATGAGGGTCTTTCCAAACCTTGTACCGAGAAGGAGGAGGCGACGAGGAGATGTCAGCACTGTCTCCCCCATAGCCAGGTTTTGGGGTGCTGATATGTCCCACTTCTCCACATGGGCAGGACAGAATGACTTCGCTCAGATATGTCATACGTTGAAGATATGTCCCCTTTGGCTGGGGACTAGGGAACACATGTGAAATTGTGGATTTTTGAGCATAGGTTTCATAAATGGCCTTCTTTAGAAGTCTCAGCTTGCAGGAGTTGGAGTCATGCTGGAGAAGATGCTGCCATTAATATGAACGGCAAACCCCATTATCCTGTTACTGTTTTGGGCCAGTGGATATGCCCGCTTGCTATATCAAGGGTCTATCAAGGGTATGTGGGTCTTTGGATGCCCTGCACCAGTCCTTTGCTGTGTTTAAATGTTAGATGATCTGACCAGCAAGGTCGAATATTTGAGGCAAAAAAAGGATGCAGCACTATGTTTTCTTTTCCTGCTCCTGTGAGATGCAAATAGAGGAGTGACCCTCTGCTAGGAGTTCATGAATGTGTCGTGCCCTCGAGGTGCAGCAAGTTACCTGCAGTTTGTGGTGCTAGCTCCTCATTCCAGGCCCTGCTGCCTGGGTGGCGTTGGGGCCTCCGTGCCCGGGAAGGCTGCTGGTGGACAGGGCTCGTCGCTGTTGCCGTGGAGCAGCGTCCTGGCCTTGGGCAAGACTCTGCTTTAGATATTGTCCTGTTGCTGCTGGGTATCTTTTCTAAATAAACGTCGAGAAATGTGAACCCTGTAGGAGTCCTTGCAGCTAGCGGGTCAAAATCCTGCGATTTGCAGTTAAAGCCTTAGTGATGGTTGTGCAGCGTTTTGTTCCATTCAGGCTTTTTAGAAGAGGTGGGGATGAAACGTCGCAAGTCAGGGTTCCTTGGTGTTAAATTGTGGGTTGTCTTGGCTTGCACAAGAAATCAGAGGTAGCGTTGACTGCAGAAATAACCTGTGCTGATGCAAATGCAGATCCTGGGGGCCGTTCCCGCTGGCCGGGGCAGCAGGGTCGATGCTGGTGGTGAACCAGAGGCAGCGTTGTGATTAACACAGCCAGCGCTAT